TGGAGTTGTTCTAGAGTGTTCAGAGTTTAGGGCGCAGAGGAACTGAAGGGACACAAGGTGCAGCCTGGAGTTGTTCTAGAGTGTTCAGAGTTTAGGGCGCCGAGGAACGGAAGGGACACAAGGTGCAGCCTGGAGTTGTTCTAGAGTGTTCAGAGTTTCATTCTTGTTCTGGGATGGTGGAGAGCATCATGCCATGTAATCACACCATGAATACAAGCAGTGCATGTTTACCCAGATCTGCAAACCTAGCCTGAAGTGTTCTCCAATTATTATTCGTGACATTTTCCAGCTTTTAAAAACGTCCTTCGGCTGTGTGTTCTCCGGCGCCCGATCAAACCGTAGATCCTCTTCCATACCCAAATATGCATCAGACCAAAACAAGCGGACACTTTCTGCCATATATAGGAAGTACAAACAACCAATGAACTACAAGCTAGGCTATAATTTCCACTAACACCACCAGTTACTTGAATCAGCTCATGCGATAACATTGCCTCCTTATGTTACTTCTATAACTTAGAACCTTCCAAGTTGGAAGGCTGTTGGAGTGCGCATCCAAGATGTGCTAGAGCTGTTAGCCAGTTAGTTGTAGAACGTCAGTACCGTCGGTCAGTGTCGTGCAATGTTATCGCATGAGCTCATGGTCAAGTAACTGGTGGTGTTAGTGGACATTATAGCACGGGCATTATATCGTTACTTGTAGTTCATTGATCCCTTTTACTTCCTATAAATCCTAGAAAAAAAATATTTAAAAAATCTTTGGCTCTCCACCTGAGTCTAACACTCACTGTCGTTCAGAATGACTTTCGGATTGAGACGCTTCATTTTCTCATCCTTCGGCAGCGTGACGGAGACGTGGTGCCAGCTGAGGTCGACATTACCACCGACTATAGCCCGGATGCTCAGCATTGTCGAGCCACGGGACTGCAGTTACACACAGAACAAAGCGTCAATATAAATTATAAAATATACAAGAGAAAGAGAGAGAGAGTTGGGGGGGGGGGGGCAAGCTGTGTTGTAACTCCGAGTTTCACACAGTCAGGATCTTCAGGTCTATCTCTCTTCCCCCCCCCCCCTCCCTCTCTCTCTCTCTCTATCTATCTTTTTCTCTCTCTCTCTTTCTCTCTCTCTCTCTCTCTCTCTCTTTCTCTCACTCTCTCTCTCTCTCTCTCTCTCTCTTTCTCTCTCTCTCTCTCTCTCTCTCTCTCTCTCTCTCTTTCTTTCTCTCTCTCTCTCTCTCTCTCTCTCTCTCTCTCTCTCTCTCTCTCTCTCTCTCTCTCTCTCTCTCTCTCTCTCTCTCTCTCTCTCTCTCTCTCTCTCTCTCTCTCTCTCTCTCTCTCTCTCTATCTTTTTCTCTCTCTCTCTTTCTCTCTCTCTCTCTCTCTCTCTCTCTCTCTCTCTCTCTCTCTCTCTCTCTCTCTCTCTCTCTCTCTTTCTCGCTCTCTCTCTCCCACTGTTGAAAACAGTGATCCTGACTACAACCATCCGTTGTCAGAGCCCCATCTTGCGACCACTTGAACCTTTCACCATGGGGCTTGGCCCAAGTTGGGACCCTCATTATACCAGGGAGTCTTTTGTCTGATGAGGGCCACCCAACTGGGGCCAGACCCCATGCGGGTCAAACGGTCACAAGACTGGGGCTCTGCCAAGGGATGATGTTTGTAATCAGGAGCACTGTTTTCAACACATTGCATCCTCCGCCTTGTAAGTAAGTTGTTACAATCATGTCAACTGGTCAGCCTTCTAATCTATCAAACAAGGCTTCCATCAGTATTCTACTACGGTGCTGGCAAGTGAAATCCGACCCCCTAGCGGTGCGTTCACTTTCTAGCGGTCTCTGTTTCGTAGTTTTACCATCCCGTGTTTAGGTCTTCGCGATGTGAGCGCACCGCTCAGGGGGTCGGATTTCAGTTGCCAGCACTGTACATGTGTATGAGGACATTGTGCATGTACGGTACTACCTGCATGTACTACCACTGGCACTGCTACTACGGCCCGACTAGTCTACTAGACTCACCAGGACGGATTTGTCTCTGCTGAATTTCCGACCCTCGGCCACACCAGGACTGCTAGCGCCCGCACCGTTCTCATCTTGCAGCGGAGCAAACATCACACCGTCCGCTTCGTCCACTCCTCCGTCGCCGATCTTAGCCGGATCGAACGGTAGCTGCCGCACGATTTGATTCTCGTCGCCCGATGTAGTGCTCGCCAGTCTCTTTTTATTCTCCGCCTCGACCGGTGCTGATGAGTCGCTAGACTTCACCTCCGCAGCACCGTCGGCTTCAGGTGTATCGTTTGACTCGGCAGCATGCTCTGCGCCAGTTTCCTGCTGCTTTTCGCCCGGCCGTATCGTCAGCCACCGCAGCTGCCAGTGTTGCCAACCGCCCGTATTTGTCCGTATGTTTACGGAAAAACGAAGTTTTGTCCGCAGTACGGATTTCAACCGAATATCCCGCAAACGATCATGTATACTAAAACCATCATAACTCCATCGTTTCATGTGCAAAGTCAACAATCGAAGGGTCGATCTACGCGGGGGTAGCAAAAACTCCAAGCCGCCCAATTAGTCCATCGGCCAAGTCTCAAAATCGAAATTGGTGATGCACTGAGCTTCCAACTAAACGCGACCATACCCAGCACGTAGAGAATATATCAGAGAACACTATTCCGTTTGTTGGACGTGCCGAATTCAGTCCAGGGCGTCGATACGAAGCGTTCTTCGTCGCCGAGTTTTTTACTGTGCGCTCCATTTGAGAGTGCGCAGAGTTCTGATCGAGAGTTTTTTGAGCAGATTTTCAAATTTTTGAGGCTGTCAGCTGACAGCTGTCAACCCTAAATGGCACTTAGTATGTGACAGGCAATAGGTTTAGGTGCCTCCGTATGCCTTCTAATAAGTTCTATCTTCCTTCGTTTCACTTCGCTGCTTCGCCCACCACCTCAGGAGATGACAGCGTACCTGCACTAGTCAGCTCTCGCTAACCCTGTCTCTCTTTCTCCGTCTTAGCGCTCGTCATTCGTGTCCTTCTGCTGGGGCGAGCTTGATGCTGTTGTGTCGTAGTTTTTAGGCAATATAGGCTGTTGTTCGCGTGACAATCAGGATTTATGGAGAAAGATGACGACTCGCCAAGTTCCCATGCAGCCACAGACGGCGTAGCAATTCTTACCGCCAACCCTTCGAGCAACGGAACCGGCCTGAGTTGGAAATCGTGTCTGTGTAATTGTGCCACGATACGGATGAAACACACAGGCTCACATGTGACGAGATGAAGATAATCTCAACAGGCTGACGGAAATGCAACAGGCTCACGGGAACGCTGCAGTTATGGTCGGAGACGCGGAGTTATTTAGTCACTGGTGAATGTTGCATCGAGTGCTGTGTGCTCTAACACAATTGTAAAAATCATGAAAAAGCGAAAATAATGCAATGGTGGGGCTGAGTGGTGTTCTGTGGAGGAGACGTCCCTGTCTCAGTATTCAACGCCGGACCCTGTATTTCAAGTCTGTGGTCATGCTCAATCATACGTTCCTGTATGGCTCCAGTGCCTTCTCAGCATTGTTGGCGGGTAAGCACCTGGATCGTGTCCAAGTACTGCGGCTCTGGTGGCTTGAGGGATGTACGGGTGCTCGCCGTGCACCCCTGCCGGCAATCTGCTAGTGAAGCTTGGTACCTACTGTGTCCGGGAGATTTTCATCCAGAAGCTGATCTTCCTAGGCTGGAGCTGCTGCTACTCCTGTGCTAGCCCTCAACCACTGGCGCTCCTGCTCGGCTCCAGTGTGGGCCATTAACCACCCTGCCCGATTTCGCACTGTTGCTATTCCACACCGTCAGCATTTAACTCTGAGGTCAGACCTTAATCTCTCCCACCATATGCTATCTGTCTGTCTGCCTCTCTCTCACACACAGATGTGCGCGCATACACACAAACACACACACACACATGCACACACAGTGACACAAACATACACATAGCCAACTTCTCTGTGTTTGGTGATCATCATCTGTTTTCTGATGTGCAAGCTCACCTCTGATGCCGATTACTTCCTTGCTTAGACCCGGTCTGCTATTAGACCAGTCTGCTCTCCCTTCACTCGCTTGTAACTCCTACTTGGAGCAGTAAGGTTGTGTCATTGTTGTGAAAGCAATATCATCGCCATTGATGGTAATTTTCCACCGTGCATGAATCATTAACAATCATCATCTATGTGTCACGGCCTAACCATCCTCGTAACTCCCCTCATCGTGACTAGTGCTGTACCGTTGAAACCTACTTTGCTTCAGTGTATATTCGCTCCAAAGCTCTTGTTTTGTTGCATAGTGATCTGACGCAGTGTGCTATAGCCTATCGGGTAATATGGATAAGATTAGTACAGTCGGCATCGCCTATAGTATGGAGTGACCAGGTACATGTATAAGGATACTAGTACATGCGATATCGGAACACAAATAGCACTATGTGTGCAATATTCCTTTCTAAGCTCACGCTGTGCGGTGCAGATAGGTCATGTGTCGTTGCCAACTTGCCGCATGTGCATGTGCAGCAGGAAGGCACCACATGTCGACTACTACTTACAAGTATACTGTACAGCATTGTGTGCTTACATGCATCTACGGCCTTGTGGATGCAATTGAGTCTCACATACATGTACATGAAATATTGCTTGTAGTGCGGTATCAGGTGTTAACATACAATGGCTAAATATTTTTCTCGCAATAATGACCGTATTCACCACAAGTGTGTTTATGTCCAGAGCCAACTCAAGTCCTGTATTATTTATGACCATGACAACAAGACTTCCGGGCTGAAATTCTTCTATGACATGCATGAACACTTGCCTTACAATTGTTCGTGATTGTACGAAGTACATATTCGCTGTTGCATCAATTTTGCACCATTTACATTGTAGTGCCACTAGTGGTACATGTATCACCTGCATGCGTATTGAGTCAAACAAGGTTACCTCTGTATAATTATGCTTATCGTGGCTATCAAGAGCTTCGATGCAAATTCCCAGCTGACGAATGGTGTCCAGCTTGTGTTCAGCTCAGCTGGCACTCACAACTCATAATAATTGCGTTCTAGACGCCAGATGAGATGTTTCAGCTACAATGTAGACAAAACGTCCGTGTTCAAGAAAGCCGTCACTTCATCTTCTGTCCATCCTCAATAGCACGTTCAAGCAAATACGTCTGAAACACAGTAGCGACAATCCGACAGCGGCGACACGCCGTCTTCTCCGAATGAGCTTCTACCGTTCTAATTCAGATTCCCCCAAAAATGTCAAAATAAATAATAGATTTCCACCAAGCTCGCTAGAATCTTGCGAAACGTCAACATGCAGGCATTTCAAGTGTTCGAGCGTGCGTAGATTCTGCTCAGCGGCTCAAGAACATTTGCCAAGCGAAAAAATGTCGATGAGAAAGATGCAATGGTGGACGAAATTACGAAAATCGGAAGAAGGTGTTCGACCCAGTTCGACTATCCTGGACTGGATTGGCAACGTCCAACAATCGGATTCGTATTCTATGGGGTCTCATGAGCTAGTGTGCCAAAGGGCGTTTAGTTGGAGCTTCAGTGCATCACCTTCGCCGAAAGAGGCCCTTTCTGAGATTTGGCCGATGGACTAAATGCAACAATCGCTGAAGCGACGTCCGACTCCAGAGATATAGAGGTTATGCGAAAGGATCACGTGCAGGCGGCGTGTAGGCGGCCAAAGCGGCCGCGCTCCGCAGGGGTGGCAAAAGAGATGAAAAGTTCAAAAGAAGTACATGTGCCTGGAATAATTTCACGAAGGAAATTTCCTGTATCGCTGTTACGTTCCTCTTCTGTTCTTTACAAAGGACTATTGTACGAACGCTGAATCAGTGGCCATGACTTCTCCCAAGTTTTCAAAAGTGTATGACGAGTTAGATGACTCCAGCAAATGCCGGTACCGTGAAAAGCTCGAGCGCGTTGCACCAGACTCGAGTGATCCTTACCTGCCCAGAAGTGTTTTTTAGAGGAAGATAAAATAATTTATTTCGGTAATCATCTAGTTTAGGGTCCCAAATTATTTCGCACTTTCCCAGTGTTCCCTGTACTTTCTGTGTACGTCAGAGCGTGCTTGAGTGTGTTTCGAAGTTTTGTGTCCTTAGTACTGAGTTGTTTCCTTTGACTTTGTGGTAATGGCTGGGCGTCCCGGTGCGCCGATACGGAATGCCGTCCCTCAGGGAGACATAATGATGCAATTTTGATGGAGCAGTGGACCGTGTTCACCCTTGTGCCGATCTTTTCCAGGACCCAACTTGGCCAACTCGAGTTCCTTGCCGCTCGGCGCTTTATCAGGAACGAAATGCTCTGTGACACATGTGGTGCGCGATGTGGCCTCACTAGGAGGCAGGAAAGCCACGATGGGTTTCGCTGGAGATGAAGACCTTGCCACTATGTCAAGAGCATCCATACCAACAATGTCGAGAATATGTGGATGCGTGCAAAGCGCCAGCTCAACGCAACTTCGGCACGTCTCGCGAGTTGTTTCCAACCTACCTCTGCGAGTTCGTGTGGAGGCAAAGAGTTCGAGAGGAACGAAACACCTTCGGCTCCCTGCTCCGCAGCATTCATCAGCAGTGCCCTGTCTGATCGGTTCTGATGAAAAAAGTCCATATCAACAGCTACTGTGTTTTTGATCTCGATTTGCAAATTTCTGGGGTTGACACGCTCTCACGTACACAGAAAGTACACAGAACACTGGGAAAGTGCGAAATAATTTGGGACCCTAAACTAGATGATTACCTAAATTTCCACTTGTGGACTATCCCGATATTTACAATTTCTTGGTCAACGCGCCCAGCCCCTACACCAAGGAGCAGCTCAAGGCCTACAAGAGCTTGGAAGGCTACAAATACCTTGTCAGTGGCTGGGTCGGCGATGTTCGTGCGTTTCCAGCGTCTGAATCTGACACATGTGACAGCAAGTTTGTCATCGCCAAAGTCCGCCATTCCCAGTCAGTTTCCGGCACCCATCTGCAACCCTGGATTGCTGCGCAAAACGACGGTAGCGGGATTCGCGTTGGCATCGCTTGAATGTTCAGAAACACACAAACTAGCCTTCGCTTCCGCAGGCCACCACTATGCCTATGCCTTGCACACCTTAGTGGCGAATGCAGACCTCACAAGTGAGTCAGGGGAGAGTAGGTGAGTCTCGGTCCAGAGAATGTATCGCGCGCCGTATTCAGGTATTCTTACCTTGGCAAAAACAAATTTTTCATCGAACTCTTCGCCATTGTTTTTTGGGGGGATCCTTTTTTGCGTGCCCTTTGAGCAATTGAGCACTTTATGTATGTAGTGTGTATTAAAGGGGCACTCCGGCTTCATTTTCGACGCCGAGTTTTCGATGCCAAGACGAAGGTAGGTGAAAGAGAAGACCCCTCGAACAAGAACGAGTCTCCAGAAGCGATCGAGTCGAGCAGGAAGACGACTTTTGAATTTCGCCGAGCGAGCGCTGATGACGTAATGAGGGATTA